CTGATGCATGGAAATGCATGGAAATAGAAAAAAATATTTAAAAATAAACACCACCAAGTTGTGTCTTAAGATATCACTAAGATACATCAGGCTTAAATGAAATTATTGACATGCAAGTTGATGAAACAAGAATAACATGCCGTCTCGTTTAAAGTCATCATTTTGTAAGTTCCATGGTCAATACAATGACCATGTCAGCAAATACAATTTATCATTAAGTCAAATGCTGACTGAAGTTTTTTACACTAATTGTTATTCCATTATTTGTACGTTGATTTGACGCCGGCTTTTTCTGTTATTTCATAATCATGGCAAAGAGCACACGGCGGGTGTGACCGGTCAGCAGGGGTTGCTTACTCCTCCATGGTACTTGATTCCACCTCTGATGTTTCGGAGATCCGTGTTTGCTCTACTCTTATCTTTTATTGTTTTATGGAGTTTGAGATTGAATACTGTTGGTTACCTCCATATCCTTCTAGAAACAATAAATTTAAAGAATAATCTAATTGATAACACGTCCCCAGTTATTTTTAAAATAAATTTTATTTTACTTTATTTTTCGTAGAACTATAACTATATTTAATATTTCTTAAAATTGGGAGTTTTGTTTAAATGATGCTAGCATATAACACTTTTAGCAAAGATAGTCACATTGTAAGACGACAGCAAACCATAGAGAGTCCTACAAATATAATATCACTATTACGCTTTCTGTGATGATCTATTAAAAAAGGACAATTTTTCCGATGACATTTTGCGTAAACAACCTATTAAGTCTTTCGCTACAAGATGTCTTATTTATCAGATCAACCGTATTAATATACTGCACGTGCGGGAAACATGGTATTAACTGTAATTTGGATTTTATGTTGATTGTTCTTGATAAGCATCAATCTTTTAAAAAACGGTTTATACATAATAAACAATAAAGTTTATTGTGTACTATTGGTCTAATCATAAATCTTATTCATTAGTGAAGAAATCTGGTAAATCTGGATTTTTCAATCAGATTTAAAAAAAACATATTAAGAAAGTGCATGTTAGGGCACAAAAAGACTGACTAGGCATACGCTTAAGCACTTTTAAGACGAGACGCAATTTTCTCCGTCTGTTAACAGAATTTAGGTTTTAAATTAAAGACATGATACAACATGTCTGCAAATGATAATACCAATTTCTTTAGAATACGAAATTTTAACATTCGGAATAATATGTGTAATTGATTATATTAATTATTAATTGCTACTCAAAGAAACCAATAGTGCTATCCTTTCTTTAAAATATTTCATACGTCATTCCCCTTTACGGTAGCACTTTATTTCTTTTTTAAAACTGAAACAATTCCTTGTTTTATCAACATGTTTGTCAAAAGCTTGACTCTTTTAATGAGTCATAGATAAAGCACAACTGATAGATATAAACTCCAGGCGCAGGTTTCAAAAGGAGACTGCTTCATGAGTCTTTGGAGTTGTCCAGTTAACAATTGGATCATTGACTTGAATGTCATCACACTTATCATTATAAACCTTTGCTCCTAGGTTTTATTTAACGTCTATGTTCCAGTTTATATCCATATTAAAATCGAATGTGTCAAGGCTGTGATATCTTTAAATTTAATTTGTCTGTCGGAAATTTTAAATATGTTAAAGATTTTAAAAACTGGGAAAAAGAATTCAATCAGAGTTCCACTGAAATTAAATTAAAATAATGAACCCTATTCAAACAAAAACAATGTTGTTACATGCTTAATCAGCTTTGACTAGTACATTTTGCGGTGTATTCTTCTTAATCTTTACTTTTGATTTTTTGAATAAAGAGTGATGAAAATTTTATTTGCCTGTTAGCCGCTTGATTCAATAATTTGAACATACCTGTGACACTTCTTTGTCATATTTTGCCAAAACTTTTTAATATTTTGGTCTTTGGCTTTTACATTTTTAAGGTATAATTATTGACGAAAGTCCTTTTATTTGGATAATAATATTTTTATCTCTTGACTTTGCAGTTTGACTTGTTATTGAGAAACTTAGATATTTTCAACAGAAGCTGCCATACGAGGGCATTAGTGTTTCACAGACACATCTTGCTTTATGCTGTAACTAAATATTATTACAATTCACCAGCACTTACAATAATTATAATGTTGTTTCTTTAGCTGAACTTCAGGTTTTAGCTCTCAATAAGATCAATTTCTAAATAAACTGACATAAATAATGAATTTTTACGTCGATTTTATTTGCGAATTCGGGTCAAAATGCTGTTTGTTAATTTTTACGTTTTAGAATTTTGCAAATGACCACAGGTTTGTTTACATTTTCTTATTGGTATTTTATTTTTAAGAAAAAAAATTTGGCGGTTGAAATGAACTCGAAAATTTGCTAAAAATTTATATACAGCAAAATTTTTAGGATTTACGGTATAGGTTTATGATACAACACCCTTGTTGTATTATATACGAAATTCGTACAGTGTAGGGACGTCATCATGGATTTATTAATAAATGCATAATCAACCTATCGTTGGGTCAAATATTGACCAACATATTTTTTATAAATTGAAAAATTGTTTCATCCATGTTTTCATACTAAATTTGATTACCTATGACTGTAAATACCGGATAAAATACTCGATAGGGTCCACGATGCATGTGACCAGAGGACTGGATGGACACTCAAAGAAAAAAACCTAGTTCATTTAGCTAGTGTGCCTCTAATATAAGCATTTTTCGAGATGAGCTAATAATATTTCTGCTTACTGGCTAGGATAACGAGTAGTGGACTGCGGAGGTAAAGGTACTCATAGATGTATACCTAGTGAGATTTATTTATAAATTCTAGATTTACTAATCTTATTTAGAAATTAATATACCCAGTGCATAGAAAAACTACTTTTCATGTCTTGATTGTTTGGACAGTAAATTAACTGGTCTGCTAAAAAACTTTTACTTGTTATTTGTTTCAGTGAGGGGATGCTTAGTCTTCCTGGGCATTTGATCCCATCTTATCCAGTGGACTGTGTTTCATGCGGCTCTCAGACTTGTATTGTTTGTAATTTGTTTTACTTAATCATTCCCAATGCATTATCTTTTCCTTCTGCAATCTGCTATTATAAAGCTTAAAATATATCGTTGTAATGAAAATATTTTCGGTCAAAATGAATTAAATAATTAAAGTCAATTTTTAATTTAATCCACTAACACCAACATCAGTGGTACATGAGGTACAGTTTATAATTAAATCGTCATATTTATGAAAAAAAAATTAATACATGTAATTAATTGATATGATTAAAACAAACATAAATGAAAGGCATATGCACTTTGGTACAAAGTACCCGGGTATAACAATAAATTAAACATACAATGAGAAAAGAAAGGATAGGATGATGACATTTCAGTTTTGGAGGATAAGCAGTCTCGTATATGTTAGATATGTTTTTGTTTTTTTTAAATTCGTGGCTGACTTAATTGAGAAATCTCTGGGGTGCTAAATATTTTTTTTTTGTGTTTATGAGTTGTAAGTTTAAACAACTCCGCAGTCATATAATTATATTATCCGCAGTTTTTCAAAAATAGCCAAACTAGAATTCAGAATTCAAAATGAGTGAAAAAATGTGCAAAAAAGGGTTCATCAAATTATTTTATAAAGAAATGATTTTTTTTAATTTTTCATTACAAAAAAGCATTAAGTTAGAAATAGTCATCAAGTCAAATTTCCAAGTTTCTTAAAATGACTACATGTACTGCATGTCCTGCTTTCTCGATCATGGTACATTCTTTTTTCTTCAAAATCATGTATAGTTTCATGACATTTCATTAATGATTTCAACAAAATACGTCTTGTTTAAAATTATTAAACAAGAGAATTAAAATGAAAATCAATGTGATAGTCACTTGACAATTGGTGCTATGTCACGTGGTCATTTTATTTTGCATAAATTCAATAATTGTCACTTACTTTGAGTCAGACTTGCACGTCGACACAACCAAGATGGTTCTTAGAATACTTCCCACTTTTATGTCCACGGTGGCGATGCATGTTCTTCACATGTTCACGATTGATTTTCCATTAAAGGTAAATTCATCAGATTTTTGAAGATTTGTTACATGAAATATCTTTATTCATGAATTTATTGTGTGATTTTCTATGTAATGTTAATGTCAGACTATCGAATTTATCACAGTTCACTTTAAATTCGTATTATTTGAGTACTATATTATTATGTTAAAAACAATGTTCTACCGCAATATCTTAACTTGATTCTTTACAATTCAATTAATCCTTTTAAAACAATTGAGTATAAGCTAATTCTTAAGTAAAACTAAATATGTTAACTTATATATCAAATGCTACAGATGGCATAGGTACTAGTATATTTAACATGCCATTATTTTATGTACTCCTGATGGACAGCAATGGGAGTTAAAGCATCAAAACAAAAAAGAAATGATTTTATCAGAAAAGAATATAGACAAACAATTTTAAAAAAAAGAAAACATAAAAATGACGATTCTAACAATTCGTTGATAAAAGCAAAATTCATTCCCATTGAAATTTATTCAAGAAATTAAAAAATAAACAGAGGAAAGATCTATAGTGCCCATCGAAGAACTTCGTTGCTGTCGTTTGGACGAAGCACGTTGAGGCCAATGATTTGACGGTTTAAGAAGGCGACATTTTTTATGATCTTATTTAAAATCCAGTGAGGGGTAATAACGGCGGGGATAATGGTTTCTTGTAAAATAAACAAACACATGTTGAAAACAAAAGAATATATTGAGACACATATGATAGGGTCTGCCGTCATAAAACATACTTATGTGTGAGAATGTTCTCAAGTCTGAGAATTATCTCAAATCCAAAATTCTCAGACTCAGCGGTCATGATAAAAATTTGAGAAAAATAAAAATTCCTTAAACTCTGTTTTATTTTCAAATTCAGCTGAGTAATTCTCAAGAATTGAATTGAGATTTTTTTTCTGAGAATTCTATAAGTTTTATCATGGCGGACACTGAACTCAGAGAAGATGGGGCGAACCAAAAGATGGCAAGAAGATATTTGAATGTTTGTAGAAATACTAGTAGATTGAGAAACTGCGTACGTTCGCAATAGTAATTTATGCAATTTTCAATCGGGCGCATTTTAAGCTGAACACGTACGTATCGTAAATAAGACTAGGCCATTTTCAATCTAATATTATGCGCGTTATGTTCTAATTCATTTCACTCAAACGAACATAAATCATTTACAATCAAAACAAGAACACTAGTCTATATAGGAAATGGAAGCGCTTGCTTGCCAGTATTTATTAGACGTATACATTTACAAAACACAAGTCTTCAATGGTACCGATTCTCTACCTTCCTTCTACAATATATCAAAAATATAATTAATCACACATAACAGTACAAAATGCATTTTAACACAATGCTTTTATATGTCCTCAATTCACTGATTAAAAACGTAATATAATGCATGTATGAACACAATTATGCTTCTTCCCTCCCGCCCAGGAAAAACCATAGATAAAAAACAACATCGATTTATGTTGAAAAAACTATGGAAACCTGTAAGTCCGCAGCAATTGCGAGGTAAACAAAATGAATGGCGGACTCAATCTCACAAACTTACGTACGTATCATATATTATAATGTACAATTAATCGACTAGTTTAAGTAAAACCTATGCAAAAAAAATATAAGTTAGAACTATCTGTAAACACATTTCGACTATATGTAGCTAATATGTACCATTACACAACAATTTTACATTTATATCAAATTTTACATAAAATTATCTAGAGTGACTAAGCAAATTGTTTCCCATCTTTGACAATTAATCTGTTGTGTACAATACTTTTAATTTTCTTGTCATGAAAACAATTACTTTCTTTATTAAACAAAATACTAGTAAAATGTTGAAGTAAGTAAGAGGGTGGGTGGGTGGGTGTGAATGTCGCAAAACAAAGCCTTCGAATGAGTTAAAATCGTGATTAAAGTGAATACCTGTTCACCTGTTCTACAGGTATCGACCTTTTAATACTGACCAATAGCTACTGTCGCTATCATTAAACAAAAATACGTGTTCCTAGTACATATGATAAATTAATATATCAGCTACAAGCATCGGGTAATACACCTGACTACTTTTTGTCACGGGTGTCGGCGTTGAATGGGGACACTTGTTCGTGCTGTTAAACTTGCATTACCTTTGTTTTCATTTTATTACAGTTATGTTGTGTTTGTTTGTTTGTATATTGCACTACTTAAAAGTGTCTTTGGTATCTTAGTTTTCTGCACTGGAAAAAGTACGCATTATGTTTTGTCCTACTGGGTGATGTATAGCATACATTCGTGTACGCCGTTTACAATTCATCACACTTAGCAGTAACTAAGTGACCGTCTCTATTAATAGGGGTCTGTAGAATTTTCAAGAGGTCGATCAAATAGGCAGACTAAGTCTTTTTGTGGCTATTAGATCTCTGCTACTTTTTTCAAAACTGTAGTTTCTGTCTGTTAATTTTTTCACGGGGTTACTGTCACTGGCATAACTTAAAATTATCTAACTGTAAATGGGATATTTCTGTAACATAAAATGTTTATCTATCATAAAAGTTTTTTTTTTTTTTTGATTCCTTAACATAATTTTATTTTATGATTTTTTCAAAGTAATACTCTTCTTAACTTTTAACTGATTTTTTTTTTATTAAAAGGATGAGATATTTAAAGACCCTTGTTTCCATACGCAGCAACCGTCAAATTATCCACGTAAGCTGTGCATGTTCTTTTATCTCTAAGATTATTCGAAATTTTTTTTTAATAATTTTTTTCTTACATTTCATTTTATTTTGTATCCTGTTTAATTATACCTGTAATTTTAGTGCTTCCATTGATTACTGTGAACTATCCAAACAAATCCCTCAATCTTGGCCGGAGCTGCGAAGTCTGCTGCCTGAAAGATGACACAGCAAACGTCGACTTCTATCAGACCGACCCAACACTCACCGATGAAATTAAACTTTATCGCTTTGGCGAAGAAGAAGCTCCAATTCCTTTCACTATAATTAGTGAATATCCGTTAATTCGTCGAGCCCATTTCAAGTTGCGTGACTACCCCCAAGGCGACTACGAGATTCGAACAATAAACCGCTACGGTTCGACGTCTGTGAAGTTTAAGGTCCTTTATGATTCCTCAGGTAACAGATGATTCTACATATAAAAGTACAGTTGAACTTCGGTATTTCGAACTCCGATATCCCGAATACCATGGGTATGTCGAAGTGATTTGGTAGTCCAAACAACATATTCTTTAAGTATTTAACCTTCGAAATCTCGAATCGTCGAATATCTCAGTCCCATCAGGTTGTAGTTAGCGTAAGAGATAAAATGAAAATAATACTCTAAACATAGAGAATGATCTTTAATACTTGGGTTAACAATCATAGTTTTTGTAAATTTTTCATGTTTTTTTTTATTTTAATACAGAGGCTGCTGGTTGCACTTCACCCCTGGGCTGTAAGTTCAAACGCCCCGGAAGACAGATTGTCAGTTAGGTACTGAATTTATTGATTCATTTCTTTTACCTCTCATATACTACTGTACATGTATGTAGAATGCACATTCATTTATTACAGATCTTAATATCTTAAGTCATTGTTAAAAAAAACTTTCATTTCAATTTTGATAACGAGTGGAAATACATGTAGTTCATTAAGAACTTTAGTATTTTAACCTTATTTATATTTACATGCATTATTAAAAAAATATCGATCCAAGTGACTCGATGTTGTGTTTAAGGTATATTATTGTCGGTAGGGAGAGGACAACCGAACATTATTTTTCAAAGATATAGCCCCACGCAACCAACCGTATTTAAATCTAAATTTAAATAAAAGAGTTGAATATGAAATTAAATATGAAATATGAATATATAAATGAAATAAAAGTGAACATTTCTTTTACAGGACCAGCGGATGCTTCATGGTCACCATTGATCATGACGCCATTCAGTCATTCAATGTGTAGCAGAAAAAGTCTCTAATAATAAAATATTGTTCTTTCCTGAGATATTTATTTATTGTTTGCAGACCGTTACTCCCTCCATTATAATTTCGTCTTTATCCTCGTTTGATTGAATGATTGATTGATTGTATACTGTTTAACGTCCCTCTCCAGAATATTTCACTGATATGGAGACGTCACCATTGCCGGTGAAGGGCTGCAAATTTAGGCCTATTCTCGGCACTTACGGCCTTTGATCAGGGATGGATCTTTATCGTCCACACCTGCTATGACACGGGGCCTCGGTTTCTACGGTCTCATCCGAAGGACCGCCACATTTAGTCGCCTTTTAAGATAAGCAAGGGATACTGAGGACCTATTCTAACCCGGATCCCCACGGGGCTATCCTGGTTTGATGCTATGTGATGTTATTGCATACTATTAAATATCTCATATATTTACTCACATAGTAAAACATTTATTTATTAAGAACCCTCTATACACTGACGAAAAATATTTTTTGGACTTTGAGAAAATTATATAGTGTAAAGGAGCCTATTTTGAAATAAACTAATCCATTTCTAATATAGGGAGCGTGCCTTCTTTATCCAGGAAAAATCTTTGAAGACAGTAAAGTAATGACAAAGAAAAATTGCTTTTGATTATTCAAATGGAGAAAATACATGCAAATAAAGTTTTCAATTACTCTATCTTGGTCTGTCAAAATGTTTAGAATACATGGATTTATGTAAAATTTTGTCATACAGCGCAAATTACAATTTATTCTTTTTTATGTCAAATGGTGGGTCAGTCTAACTACACGCAAGTACCCTGAAATTAGGGTGCAGTGTAGAGAGGGTCCTTAACTGTTCCTCTGCGAGCAGATTTTATGCGTTTTTGAGACCTTTGGACATACATGTAATACATGTATCCTTATGAATAAATTTTGAACTTTTTTATCCAAAGAGAAATCTTGCCATACTATTCTAAAGGGAATTTGCGAGATACAGTGTATTACATTCCATAAGAACTTGAACAGCTATATCTCAGGACTGACCTTAGATTAGTGGAAATAGGGTCAAAAATAAAAAAAAAAATACTTTTGTTTCCCCTAACGCGACCGACCCAATTAAATTGCAGTGACTGAAAAGATTTTTTAAATAAGTTGATTCAAAATGTTTTTATTATTAACCAAATTTAAATAACATACACTTTAATCAAATTCAGTTTTTATCAGAACGGCCGATATTTTCCTTCTGTGATTTTCATGCATTTGTTGGAAACAAAATGGTGCTCAGATGTGATTACAGAGAATAGGTTCTTCATAGCGGCAACGTCTCAATATTACGGAAGTGTATTAGGGCCGCAGCAGTACCTTTTATGAATTTGTTATATCACTTTATTACATGTACTTTGTTACAACAATTTATTAATTTGTTATAGCAAATTAATAATTTGATACAACAAATTAATAACTTGAAATTATAGCAAATTATTAATTTGTTTAAAAAGATTAATAATTTGTTATAACAGATTAATGATTTGTTATAACAAATTAGTAATTTGTTATAACAAATTAGTAATCTGGTATAGCAAATTACTATTTTTGAACATTTGACATGTACACAGAACTATAGAATCTATATCAGACTAGAATTCTTTAAAATATTGAAAACAATAAACACACACTCTGCAGTTCTTTTCATGTCTATGTTTCTAAAAGCAACTCAGAGTTTTCACTTCAAACATCAATGCTATGATAAACTGCAGCAAATTCCTTGATTCTATTCCTTAAAGCCTATTCTTAGAAGCTTTAATGAAACTTTGACCATACATGCCCCCCCTTCCCCCTTTCCGACTCTGTTCAGTCATAGCATCGAATTCGTATGCTAGGAAAAAATTATCTTATTTAAGGCATGCAACAAAATGTTACAATATAAATAGTTTTATTTGTGTGTGTGTTTTTGTTCATTTTATAACCTCTCTCTCTCTCTCTCTCTCTCTCTCTCTCTCTCTCTCTCTCTGGATTTATTCTTTACATGTGACATGATCTACTTTGAATACTGCTTTTCGACATGCATTTATGTCTACTGTTCAACCCAATAACATCAATAACATCATTAAAGAATAACATCTTTAAACTAAATCCAAAAATTCTGGAACTGCTTTGGTGGTGAACATCCATGGTTCCGAATAAAGCTGTGAGCAACAAAGGCAATATTGACCAAAATGAATTTGCAGATAAATCATCATGGGAAAAAATACATTCCGTAACAATTTTCCCCGGAAAACGAAAGAAAACAAAAACCCCAAAATACACTTAACAAAACTTCTAAGTGTTCACTTTTATAAGTGTATTTATTTAAAAACTACTTTATGGAATAGTATGACATTTTCAAATCATTACAACAAATGAGTCCTCTCAACAATTGTAGCAAGAAAAATAAATACCAACGATGAAAACCAATGATCAGTGTTTTGTGTAATTAGTAATTATTTGTGATCATTGTCAAATTTTAAAAACCGGTTTTACTAAAAAACACAATACATTGGCAAAATGACCATTGAGAAAGAAGGGAGAGCCGTTAGAATGTTTATATCTGGACCATCTTTGCACCACGTTTTACTAACTTTTATTTCAGTTTTTTAATTGTCCGTGATATTACTTTTAAAAATAAACAATCCGTATCAAAACCCATTTAAACACATTTTTTGATAGGCATATACGTCTTTTTCATCGCCAATTTATCACAATTTGAAAGTTTTTGACAAAATTTAACCAAACCGGAAGTGACTTTGTTCTTCGTCTGAGGCCAAAATTTTGAGTCACACCAGATTTAAAGACAGTTAAATTGTCCTGAAACAATCTTAGAAACATGAAAACAAAACAATTCAATCGTATGAAAATGATATCGTATGAAAAAGAAATCGGTGCTTGTGACAGTCTAATATCAGCTCATGTAGTCTGAATCATCCCTAAAGCGGTGTCCTTACGTGATAGACGTCCAAGGATATTGACCAAAAGACCTCTGTGTGATGATGCATCTTCAGATCTCCAGTTCTGAATCCCATTGAACACATTTTTGACTTTTATAAAAATTTTTATGCCCCCCTCCTTCTACTTGATTTCAACGGTTTGGAAAAATCTAGGCAGTAAGTGTGGCAGCAGATGGGTCAATCTCATATTCAGGGGTACATGTACATTGTATCCAAGAGTAAAGTATGTCTTGCACCTGTAGAGCGAATGGTGGTCTTTATCCAAAGAAATATCTTTGTGTGAGTTTTCATTTTGAGGGTACATCATTTCCCTGACACTTTGCTAAAAATTCTGACGAGATACTTACATGATATTTACGCAACATCGAACTGAAATAAGCATCATTAAGCATGAATTAACGAAATTATTAATTGTTTGCACATGTTCTTCAAACCTTAAAAGTTTGGTTCAGTGTATTCATAAGTGGGTAGCGACTGGTAAAATTTAATAATGTATTAAATTATTAATTTAATTCTTTCGTATGCGTGAAATTTCTTTTAATTAAAACAGAGCCTGATGGAAAAGTTCTCAAAAGTCCCACTTAAGTCTTATAATTGGCCAAAAACTTTCAATTACAATTTATTTTCAAAATCCGACATATACTAAGAATTTTGATTTGATCTGGTTTTCATAGATCTGTATACATTTCAAATTTTGTCAAAAATAGTAATTTCTTTTATTAAATACTAATTTGTTTTAAGAAATTATTATTGTTGTTATAACAAATTATTAATCTGTTATAACAAATTACTAATTTGTTATAACAAATTATTAATCTGTTTTATCAAATTGATAATCAGTTATATCAAATTAATAATCTGTCATATCAAATTAGTGACTTGTTATAAAAATTAGCAGTCTGTTATAACAAATTACTTTTTTTTGTTAAAATGTTACAATATAAATAGTTTTATTTGTGTTTTTTTTTGTTTTCTCTCTCTCTCTCTCTCTCTCTCTCTCTCTCTCTCTCTCTCTCTCTCTCTCTGTGTGTGTATATTTCATTTTCGATTTATAAAATACGGTGTCGGCGTGTTTTTGTTCACCGTGCTTCCGCCCCACACTTAGAGAAGAAATACATCGTGAAGGTTTAACAACCCTTTTGTTCCTCTGCAAGGAGTATATCATAAGCCCGTATAGAATGATATTTATTTAAATTAGATAAATCACTCTTTAAAAAAAAAAAAAAAAAAAAAATCAGGCCCATGATAGGCCACATCACTCACCTGAGTAACTTTAGCCATGCAAGTATTCTTTACAAGATTCCCAATTTCTTATACCTCTTGTGACCCTAATTTAACTTTCACCATAGGTAATAATTTCGAGA